CAAGACCCGGCAGAGGCCAGGCTTTCTGCGTGATGATTTCTTTCCATGTCACTAGCGTATGAGTGAGCCTGGATGTATCACTGGAGTGAGTCCCAGTTTTTATGAGAGGCTACGAAACCAAACTAAAGTAAACCAAGAGTTGGGCTGAGAGTCACCCGTGAAGCACGTCTGGGCCTCCATAGGACTCTGGAGTGCTGTTCCTGGGATGGGAAGTGCTTTCTCAGGTCCACTAGCTGGATGCTTGAGAAAGTTTCAGAGCATGATTCCCGGACGTCTGGGAGCCGCCACAGCTTTTCGGGGGCCTAGGAGATCAAAACTTTTCATACTATCACTGAGATGTTATTTCCTTGGTTAGTCGTTCTGTCGTGAGAGTATAGTGTGGCACCTCGGAGGTGACATGCTGTGTAATATTCCAGATGACTGAGCACGTCAGCATCCAGATGCTGTTTATGAAGCTGGGCTTGAAACACTGTTTCGAGGATGTAAAATTTGCTTGCTTGCTTGCTTTTTACAGATGGGTTGGAAGATTTTTTTTCTAAAAAATGTTTACGTTGAAATGTTTATTATCAAATGAGTAGTCTTTATTGTTTTAGTTTTAATATCAACTGCTAAGAACATCAGTAGAGACCACACATGCATGCATGCACATGCACACACACACACACACACACGTATGTGCCTAAAGCTCTTTGGGAGACCTTAAAATATATTAAGTATGTAAGGAGCTCTGGAACCAAAGCACTGAGAATCCCCATAGGATAACCAATCCCTCTGGACCTCAGAAGAGAGCAAAGGTGACCTTAGGAAAAGAGGAGGAGGGGTAGTGGCTGTGGATGTGGTTGTGTGTAGCCATAGAGTATGCACTTAGCATTCCTGAGGCTCTGGGCTCAGGTCCCAGCATCAGAACAAACAAAACCGGGTGAGTGGCAGTGGGATAATAGATAGCAGTGAAAAGTTAGCTGTGGTCTTCCCATGGTTACCTGTCCGGCACTTTGGTAGGAATTAAGGCTGGTGGGTGTTTGCCTGTTTATTTGGTTGGTTTTGAAATTCTGGGGATCGAACCAATGACCCTCTGTTCCCCTACTCCCACTGTTGTTAATATCCCATTTTATAGACTGAAAAATTGAATAGAGACGTTGTCTCCTGTCTCCCTGCTGACTCCATCCGTGGCGGGGTGAATCATTGATCAGCTTGCTGTCTTCCAGTAGACCCTGGTGTCATGAGATGCAGCCCCCATCTCCTAGGGAGATGTTTACTGCACAGACCAGTTCCATATTCTTTACAACAAAATAAATAACGGGCATTATCCATCCCTGGAATGATATCAGTACCTTTGAAATTCACTGATCAGCTGGAAAAATGATCACAGAGAGGGGGTGATGCCTGTCTAGAGAAAATACAGCAGAACAAATCCCTAATTTTAAAAGCTAAATATAGCATGAAGGACATGCTAGCAAGGTGACAAAGGAGAAATGCATCAGGGTGTGTGCAGTGAATGTTCCCTGGAGGTGTTGGTGCCTATGACAGAAGACGGGTGACTGTGCTGTGGGGTGTTGGAAAGAGCTTAGCTTGCACCAGAGCTGGGAGCGGTGCTCTGTCGGGCAGCACAGGTGATCTCTTTTAGTGGACTCTCTGCAGTTGCATACTGATGGTTGTAAGAGGTGAGAAATAGGGGTGTGTCGGGGCTGGGGATTTAGCTCAGCGGCTTAAGTGCCTGCCTTGCAAGGTGAGTTCGATTCCCAGTACCGATAAAAAGGAAAAAGACAAAAACAAAAAAGAAATAGGGGTGCGTTGGAAGCCTGGCCATGTATGACCAACACTTGGGCTTTTAAGCGGGCAGAGAGGGAAAAAACTTGGAATAGTTGCCTGCCAGTAGGTCAGGCGAGGTCATGGCCAGTTGCCTGTGGTGTGAGCCATGTTCTTTTGATTATTTCTGCACTGTGCTGGCTTGGATCTTTTGGAAATGTAAAGTATTTCTGTTCTGCAGTTCATTACGTCCAGCAGATGTTGCTTTATGGCTCTGAACCCAAATTTCAGAATGAGCGAGGTATCAAATAACATAACCCTGAAAGCAGGAAAGAGGAAATTGGTCTGCTGGCCACTTACCAGGGAAGTTTTAAGAAGGTTCCAGATTGTTAGCCATGGCTGGTCTGAAGTACAAAGCAGAGCAGATCCCAAGATGGAAAGAAGCTGTGTGACTGCTGATTGCTAAGCCCTGGGAAAACGTTCGCTTACGTCTTGAGAGAAGGGGCACCTGAAGCAGGGAGTTGGCCACTGCATGTCTTCCGCTGCCTCCTGGCACTTGATTCCTGAGGCCTATTTAAGTGGAAAATGTGTTTTTGCCAAACTTTCCTGTGATCTAAGGGGAGGGGGCAAGCAGTGTGAAAAGAAAAAGAATCCATGACTCAGTATTTTCAGGTTGTGGTAAAACCTTGTGCGGGTTGTGAATCTTATTAAAGTCACAATATTGAGTCAGTTCATCAGCACTGAGCTGTGAGACTTGCGTTACGCATATTTTGGAGGCAGGGCTTGGTACAGGTGAATAGATGCATTTTGTGTAACAGTGCTATGACTCCATGCCCTTGCTCCCTTAATGGAAATATACTGGGAAATTCTTGCCAGAATAAACACATTCCTTCAGGAATGAAAGGCTTAGCAGATTTCTAGTTCAGCTGTACTTCTTTCCTGTGAGCAGATAAACCACATAATTTGACATTAGCCTTTATACTCTGTACAGTTCACTGTACTATTGTTGACTCCCTTGGGGGTCATTGAGACCAAGGGTAAGAAACAGACTGAGGTAGCCAGTATTATACTGTAAGAAGTAAAAGCCAGGCATGGTAGCACACAGCTGTAAACCCCGCCATCCTAGGGGCTGAGGCAGGAGGATCACAAGTTTGAGCCCAGCCTGGAAAACCTCACGAAATGCTCTCAAATAAATAGTAAAACACAAATAAACAAAACAGGTGATGCTGGAAATGTAGTTCAGTGTGAAAGCCCTGGGTTCAATCCCCACTGTTACATCAAAAATAAATACATCAATAAATAAATGACAGAAGCAAAATCAAAGATAGAGCATCTGTGTACTTGACAATTTAATTTGAAATAAAAATGAATCTGGCAGACAGTCTGTAATTAGTTTTAGCCTTCTTGGAGAGGCAGGATTAGGACTATGAATCTAGATACATTGAGTTACTGTTCCTCCAAACTTAAAAATCATGTTTAAGAGAAAGATACCTTTTTACTTACACTCTTAAGACTCAGACCTAAAAGTCACGTGAAGAACAGGTTGGTTGTGTAGTGACCACTGGGGCCACTGCGGGGGAGCAGGGGGAATACAGTGAGGTAAACAGGATGCTAGGGCCAGAGAGGAAGGAAATACCCCTTAAACTAAGGGAGGGAGGAGGCAGACAATGGACAATGGAGATTTGAGGAAAGAGGCTCACAAGCACGGCTAGAATTATTCTTGTTGGCCCTGAGCCGTATCCACCCATCACCACCCAAGGTTGTTACCAGGGAGAGATGATAGTGACTGTTTATTCATTCATGTGAATAGCATCAATAAAGTGCTTAAGCAAGGCCGGAGAACCATCTTTAAGGGGATAAAACTGGCCTATTAACACTGTAGGTAACTGTTCAGTGATATTACCTGTATTTGCAGCAAGGGGCAATTGAGTTCTTTGCTTTTTTCTAATACACCAGTTAGAATTAAACGGGGTGGATTTGCCCAGAGCTCAGTGACCAAGCATCTCCCTCCTGCGGAATTAAAATTCTAGTATCCTAAATTGTGGGAAAGGCTGGTTTAGAGGTGAGGTTGTTCACATGCTATTAAAGAATTTTATTTCTTTTTATTTTCAAATTGTACAGGGTGTAAAACTAATTCAGCAGCATATTACTTCCTAGAAGTCCTTCTTGGGAAATAAAAAAGCAATTCAAATTTAGTATATTAAAACGCTTTTTCACCAATTATTGTTTCCACTCAAATTTTGCTTTTTAAAAAAATATTGTATATAAAAGAAAGGCACCATAGCAGAAACATTTCCCTTTTCAGGTAATTGTTGTTTTTCCTTATTCTATAAGTATTGAAACAAAATTTAACATTTCTAGTAGTTATAAGCTCTAATTCAACTTTAGAAGTAGAATAGATGTGAACTATAAATAAAGTATAGTTTACTTGAAGCCACAAAGTACTCTTACTTAATTTTCTTCTCTTCATAGGTAATATGTAAATTAAATATTTGAAGTAATCCCAAACTATTCTTGCCATAATTGAGCGGTTGCCAATAAATGAATGTTAAACTCACTTAAAAGTTATAATATACACAGCAGCAAATTTAATAAATCATCCTTTTATTTATATGGTAGTTCCAAAATTGGGAATTCAAATAATACTCTATTCATTGATTGAAGGTGCATGCTATATAAGAGTTGATTGAGTTTGGCTTATAAATGTAAATGATAAATATTGGAAAAATTTCTTCCTAATGTTATTTATTAATAGCCTATAATCAATATTTATACTATTGTTTTCTGAGAAACAAAGTTTCAGATTTAAGTGAGTCTTAAAGTAATTTAAGGTCATGTAAGCTAACACCCTAACACCCTAGAAACTGTAGATTGTGGCAATTGTTTCTGTATTTCCTAGAGAATGGAAATACATGGAAAAGTCAATTCCTATGTTGTTTTTTCACAGTGGGTTTTTATTGTTTTGTTTTGTTTTGTTGTTGTTGTTGTTTGTTGTTTTTTGCTTTGTTTTGTTTTTGTGGTCCCAGGGATGGAACTCATGACCTCGCGCTTACCAGGAAGGTGCTGTGCCGCAGAGCTGTACCCCCAGCCCTCCACCATAGGTTCTCAAACACATTGTTTTACAAGCGTCTTATAAGCAGTAGCATCCCGAGGGAAACCGTTTCCAAATTCTCCAGCTCAGTGTTATATTTTGAAAGTCGTATGACTTCTTCCTCTTGAACCCAGATAAACCTTGTTTTCTTTTGTATGTGTAGTTGCAGGTATGGCCAGTACACCATGAGCCAGGGAAGCACGACGAAAGCTACAGAGAAGCCTCCATTCGATCGGTCGAGTTCCCAGGATTCCTTGGATGAAATGTCTATGGAGGACTACTGGACAGAACTGGAAAATATCAAGAAATCTAGTGAAAACAGACAAGCTCAAGAGGTGGTGGTTGTCAAAATCCCTGATGGTAATAACTAAATAAATGAAGCTGGCATTCTTGTTGTATGTATTTGTGGGAAGTGGGTGCATAGAGGGGAACAGAACAACCAGAAGGTGATACTGCTAGTTGCCCTTCAACTTGAAAATTGTTTGTGGCAGATGTGTGGATAGAGCTGCCCAGCGAAAGAGGCCTCAGTAAATTCTCTTAGTTTGTAGTTATGGCTCCACCAAGTGTGGCTAAATTTCTTAAGAGTTAAGCTTGGTCTTTGAAAATCAACTAAACTGCATTTGATAACACTCCTCCCACGTAGTTGCTTGGTCTCCAGGAAATGTAGATGTTTACAGAAAGGTCCCGATTTTTAAGTGATACTGTTTTCTAGTGGTCTACTTGATTGCTTTTGATATTTCTTTATTGATTTGTGGCCTACTAGCTTCTAACTTCAACTCACATGCTGTAGATTTTTTGCCTTTGGAGGAGAGCAAAGAAAGTTCGCTGTACTTTTACAGGGTGGATGCCTTTCAAAGAGTTGGGGATACCCTGTTTCTAGCTGTCATTTCTAGAAGGAAAGTTTATCAGACCATTTTTTTTTTTTTTTGTGTGTGGCTGGTTTTCAGGTGTTGTAGTCATAATGATTGAGGAGTACAGATCTACATTGAAAGACAGTGGGGCTGGGGATTTAGCTCAGCGGCATAAGCGCCTGCCTTGCAAGCAGGCAGTCGTGAGTTCGATCCCTGGTACCGAAAAAGACAAAAAAAAAAATAAAATTAAAAAAAAAGAAAGACAGCATGAGTGTTTTTTAACTTCTGAAGTTGCCTCTTTCTTGTGTTTGTCCCATAACTTTTCAAGTCTTTTCCCAACTGTATTTTGCCACACTATGTGCCACTGCACTTGTATTGTAGAAAAAAACGTGTAATAATCTATTTCTTTTTTTTTTTTAATTTCATTCCATTTCTCTAATCTCTTAAATTCAAGCAATCACCAAGCTTTTGAATGCTCAGTTTGGGCACATATTTTATTAGCATTCTTTCTATGCCATCTGTAGATCTGTGAGTACTCTGTTTTGATAATTCAGACGATAGACGAAGGCAGAGAGTGAAGTCTGTGCCTTGTCACCTGCTAAGAGATTTCTTTCTCAGTGAAGTGACTTCTTTACTAAATGATTCAGGATGGAGCTAGTTAGAAATGTCTGTATTAGATTTTCTCCTTGGCTGCACCATTACTTGGAAAAGAATCCAATAATTTTAAAGTTGAGGAATTTTTCTTAATGTAACATTTCTTAGATTTGTTTAAAAAAAAAAAAGCCAAATCACCAGCTCTGTTTCAGTTTCTTTCTTTCTTCCCCAAACATGTTAGTAGTAAAGTCAAGTTATTTGTGGTAATTAATATTGTTTCTTAGTCTTTCTGTCGCTATGTTTCAAGATGGAAGCAGTGTTACAGTGGCCTGCTTAGTAAAATAAAGTAGCATTTAAGCCATGTGTTGCTAGCTGCTTGATAATTCTCTGAAGATAAAAACAATAGTGGCCAGGTGTGGTGGTGCATGCCTAGCACTCAGAAAGCTGAGGCCAGCCTGGGCTATGCAGCGAGACCCTGTCTCAAAAAAAGAAAAAATTATCATGCACAATGTGGTCATCAAAAAGACTGGCCAGAGTGGTTTCTGTGTGCCTACACTTTTTTTTTTAAAACCTTATACAGTTTGAACTTACTTCTGTTGGTTGAAATAAATGACTCTCTGTGGTACTCTGTTTTCCTCGTCATAGCAATTCCAGCTATTTTTTACCTCCAGCAATTTGGTTTTGTATATCTGTACTGAGCCCTACCTAAACAGCATTAATAATAATAGTTGACTGACTTTTTATGTCAATAAACAGAGTGTCTGACAGGAGCCAGGTTATTAACACCCAATTACTGTCATGAAGGAATTTATGTAGTGTAGAAGGATGCACACAGCCAGTGCCATCCCATGTGGCGCAGGCTATGCTAGTACCCTGTGAAGCTCCTCCCCTGCCATGTCCTCAGCCTTGGTTAGCATGTGGCTGGGGGAGCTGCCATCCAGTTTACAGATGAGACAATGGGGTCACCTTGAGACAGAGGGACTTGCCTAGTGGCACAGCTGCAGAATGGACCCAAATCATTGCTGTAAGCATAATGGTTGGAGTGAATCTCTCTATTTAGCCTCCTGATTTTCTGTGATTAAACAGCGTAGTTACCCCTTGATATTCATGGGTGATTGGTTCCAGACTACTGCAGATATCAACATCCACAACTCTCAAGTTCTTTCTATACCATGGCACATTATTTGCATGTGGCCTGTTGGTATTATCTCATATGCTTTTTTTGGTCCTCTCTGGACACACATAAAGCAATGCCCATGCTACTCAGTTGTTACCCTGTGTGACTTAAGGACTGATGACAATGCCTGCACGCATTCAATGCAGGTACAACATTTTTAGAGGATGTTTTCAGTCTGCTGGGTTCAATCATCAGATGCACAGCCTGTGGGATATGGAGGGTTGACTGTAATCCCTGTTTCCTATTTTCAGTGATTTGAATGGATTCAGGTATTTAATTATTTTCCCATATCGTCTGTTTTTTTTTAAACAGGGTACTTTTTAAAATTTGTTTAAAAAATAATGAAATAATATGAACTGATGTGTTGATGGCAGGATTAGAAAGAGTACGTTGAAACTGTATAATTCCCTGTGTCCAGCTGCTGTCAGCTACTGTCCCCTGTCCCGTCAGCCACTGTGAGCAGAAGAAGCACACCTTCCCACAAAGCATCGTGGGACTCTGGATGGCGCTGAACGTGACCCAGGTTGCCAGCCCAGCATCCACAGCCTGGTCTGACTGCCTTGTGTAATTGATGGGAGCAACTTATCTTTTCATCGCTTGCAGTCTCTTAGAAGGCAACAGTATCAGCCTCTACAGTTAATCTGCAAGACGTTGTGGAGGTTAATTACATGTGAAGTCATTTAAGGTTTTGTAATCGCCTATCTATGAAATCACCTTCCATTGGATAGCACTGTGGCCAGCATAGATGGCTGTTGTCCAAGTTTCAGATAATGAATCTGAGCAACACAGCTCGGTTACAATAGCTGAATTTCAGGAAGAATATTTAACAGCTTGTAAAAATTGAACATTTTTGTAATGTGTGATTTAAAAGCTGTTTTGTTTTTTTTTTAACCTTCTGTCTCAGAGGGCGAACTGGAAGAAGAGTGGCTGAAGGAGGCGGGCCTGTCCAATCTCTTTGGAGAGTCAGCCGAGGATCCCCAGGAAAGCATGGTGTTTCTGTCCACCCTGACACGCACCCAGGCAGCAGCTGTCCAGAAACGGGTAGAGACGGTCTCCCAGACCTTGCGGAAGAAAAACAAACAATACCACATTCCTGATGTCAGAGACATATTTGCTCAACAGACAGAGTTAAAAGAAAAAGTAAGTTTTCTTCTCCAATATTGAGGCAAGCGATTAACTCCTGAGCCTCACTTGGACCCATCCAGTTTGATTCAAATGATTACAAATTACTTAGCAGGTGCCAGTGATGACATCTGGGTACCAAAGGTGCCTGCAGTGAACCAACAGGTTTTGATCCCTGCCCTTCTGGGGGTTGTACTGATGGGGCAAGATGCTAGAAGTAAAAACTCGATGTGAGCATCCTGTTGGGAGTAGATGGCATCCTTAGAGTTTTAGATCGATACTGGGAGCATCAGGGAAGGTGTCCCAGGCATTCTGACTGCCAATTATTAGCAATACTGAGACGAGAACAACTAGATCTTCTCTATCTCTTAATGCTTACAGGACTATTTGGGTTTTTCAGACCCAGAAAGGGGAGGGAGTGGAATATGAGAGTGCTAATGGCAGCTGCATTACGAACTAGGGATCCTGAGACATGAAATTGAGTCCCCTTTGTGGCTCGTGCTTAAGCATTATACTCTTGCATATACATGATTGGAGTGAATTCCTGTGCAAATGGTGAACATGTTAATGGAAGATGTTGGAGTCTGGTAGAAACTGAGTAAAGAGGTGTCGAGAAAGGTTGGTGTACAGTATTAGACCTGCGTGACTCAGAACACTGCTGCTTACAATAGGCAGTTCCTATGTTAATTAGCATTCATTCATGAGGAAATCAGGAATTTGTGCAGAATGACAATTATTGTTCTTTCTTTCATCAAGAGTGTCTTGCTGTTGAAAAAAGATAAAGGGTGTTCTTAATGTCACAGTGGATTTACATTCTGGCCCCAGTAGCTTCGGCTTGTAAGATCCACTGAAGTAGTTAAAATGAGAAGGAATGAAGGGACTCTTCAACAATGATTGTAATGGTAACAATGGCAATACCAATCTGCCACCACCACTGAACGTTCAGTGTGTGTTGAGTCTTAGTTATTTTTCTTTCATTGCTGAGATAAAATTCCTGATGCCCAAAATGAGGGAAGGAAAGGTTTATTTAGCTTATAGTTTGTGGAGGTTTCAGTCCATACTCAGATGGCTCCAAGGCAGGGTGGTGTGGCTGAGAGGCATCCATTCATAGCTACCACAAGCAACAAGAGCAAATAGGGTAGAAAGGGGAAAGTATGCCTCCTTCCCTCCCTTTTATAGTATACTGGCTCCACCCCTGGGTGGGTGCAGCACTAACACCACCAATCCCAGTGCTGGACAATGAACCAATCACAAACACTAGATTCACCTGCTTCCATGGCTGCATGAGGGTTTGGGGGACACTCACACACAATTATTGTGCTAACTGCTTTGTCTGCTTTATCTCAATGAATTCCTCCAGCAGGCTTATGAGTGAGGTATTATCGTTTCCTTTCTAAGGCTGAGGCTCATAGATTTTAAGTAATTTGCCCAATGTCCCATAGACACTAAACCCAAATTTGACCCCAAAGTGCATGCTTTTAACTGTTTTCTGTCCTGCTATGTTTCATTGCCATCTACAGTTCTGATACTGAGCATTCTAAATGTGAGATTCTATTTATACTATAAAAGGGTAATAAAAATTTTATGATTCTTTATAAAAATATGGAGCGGCAGGGCTTATAGTTAAAGGTTCTTTGTCTCATGTGCAGGATTTTCGCTTTTGGTAGATGTTTCATTTTTCCAAGAAGTGTTTCCTAGCTACAGATCAATTTGGATGGCCAATTTTGGATCAAATCTAGTCCTTTTAATGGGAATTCTGAGGTCACTAGATTGCTCCAGGCACTTGTCTGACTTACTACCCAGCAGTTATTTGGGATATATCCACTGGTGTCAAAGGACCAAATGAGGTTTCCAGCTGTAGAAAAATGAATAGAAAGGAAATATAGTATTACAGTATTTCCTCCCCAATTAACCCTCCCTACCAGAGCTAAAAGGGCATGAAGAGAGGGAGGAGGCAGAGAGCTGAGCCTAAGCAGAACATGTATTGTGGGACTCTTGCCAGTCTTTGAGAGGATGTTTCTATCGCATTTTCTAGAAGCAGCACTTTCCAGCAAATTCCTGGTAATGTTTAAACCATATGGTTTCAAGTCCAAGGTAATTGGTGGATTGTATCATCTGATGGACTCATTAAAAAATAGCACAAACAAATTAAAATAATGTTGACTCACTCGCATTGCATGCCTTTAATTGAAGCACTGCTGCCCATTAGACATTTGGTTTACATTCCCAGTCCCTCAAGCAAACATGGCCCAGACGCCTTGACTTGCAGTTCTTCTGCAAGAGTGCACATTTACTCTTTCATTTGCAGTGCTTTTCCATGAAGCCCTTGCTAATACTAGGACATACCATACCGCAATGAATACCATCTACCCTGCCACCTTCAGTTGCTAAGGCCAAGAGTGAGACCACATATTCCAAAATACAGGCTCCCAGCAAGCTTAGCGTCTTGCTGAGTGTGCTGTGCGATGGAGATGAGCTGTCCACAGCGTTGTGGATGCAGGAAGGAGGATGCACGGTCCTGTCCTGCAGCCAGCCGATGTGTATGCACCTGTGTGTCACTTCTGGGGTTTGGGACTTGCTGTGCCCTGTACTGAGGCTGATATGCATCTGATTGGACATTATTGGCATGCATGTTCCCCTGCTCTGATGCTTTCCATAGGTTACAGGTGGAAATGGGAGTTCTTTGTGATTCATACCCAGGGTGGTGGTACCACCAGGTCCACTTTTGATTGGGGGTGATGAAATCCAATAGAATGACTGTTTTAAAATTAATTCACTCCCTCAGGCTTCTCAGGGTGGCCTGGCAGGGAAAGAGGAAGTGAGTGTGACCACATCTACTTGCTGGTAGGTGAAGCCAGCTGTGCCATCTCAAATTCGAACCCCAGAGGGCCACATGCCTTGGGTGTCGCTGCCTGACTCCCTTGACAAAAAGAATACCAGCGAGTGTTTTAGGTCTTCATGTCAATTGATTAGTTTTAATTTAACCTTTCATGTATTACTTTTTTTTTTTTTTACAAAAAAATTTCTATCCTCAGCTTGTAACTAATTCAGCTTTGTCTTTTTGTGTTTTCTCTCAGCACTATTGAGATGAAATCCATATATTGTAAGTTTATCCAGTGCAACTTGGTGGGTTTTATGACAGTCACATTCTCCTGCACCATGTCAGTGACAGCACACTGTCATGGCCCCCTCAGAAAGTCCGTAACCAGACACAGCCAGCCCTCATGCTGCCTTCACTGAGGCAGCTGCTAATCTACTTTGTCTTCCTCATTTGTCTATTGTGGACATTTCGCATAGTAAAGATATTAAAATATGCAGAATCATATATGTGGTCTTTTGTGACTGGTTCCTTTTGTGTAGTATGGTGGTTTCAGGATTCCTCCATGTTGAAACGTATTTCATTTTTATACCAAATATTCTGTTGTATAGGTAAACCACGCTTTGTTTATTCATCACTTGCTCAGTACGAGTAGCTTTCTACATGGTTTTTTTTTTCCTCTCGATGAGGTAGTGATATTTTTAATGACAGGGACACTTGACATTTTCCATTTTCCCTGCAATGTTTTGTCTTACGCTTGTGGGTCATCATCACGTATTTGTTCGATGATTGCTTGCTGGTTATAACCATCGTGCTGTCTTTGCCCACTGTGACCGTTGTGTGTCTGAGCACATTTGTCTGTACTCCGCAGGTCAGTAATGACATTATTTACAGTGCCGCTTTCTCAGGTTGTGACTTGGAGATGACTGAATGGCTCATTTTCTGACTAAATGGCTGGTTTTCTATGTTTAGGCTCCAGATGGTCCTGAATTGCAGTCAGTTGGAACAAATGAAAACAAATACCAAGAAAAAGATGGTATGTTGGACTTAATTCTCCCCCTCCCTTTAATTACTGTAATAAACAATTACAACTTTTAAAGATTCTTACCTTTAATTCTAGTAGGCAAACTCTGTTAAAATAACAATGTAAGATCCCAAATGGGTAATTACAGGGAGCTGAATGTAACATTGGGCTTTAGGGTGAAGTGTGTCCCCATCTGACCCAGAGTCCACACATAGCATCCTGAGTGAGTATCCTGTGTTAGGCATTGTGTGGAAAGTTCATTTCCTGCCCTCAGCAGCTCTCCATGGTGGGTTCTGGGCTTCAGCCGTTTTGCAGATCAGACAACTGAGTTTTAGAAACGTAAATTCATTGTTCCGAGATCATACAGCTAGAAGTGCAACCAGGGAATTTAAAGCTTGCTTCTCCAATTAGTAAATGGATTAATTTTCAAAACATTTAGGGGCACTTAAAATTAAGATTTGGAGGGGGAGTAGTTGATTACTATTTTTTTTCAAGCTTTTTCTCTTTGAATATTGAGTTCCAAAATAGAAGTTCAAAGCGGGGAAGAAAATTAATAAGATTCTATTGGTACTTAAAAGAAAAAATTATACCTGTTTTGTCTACAAAAAGGAGGACTGTTCTAAATTAAGCTCATTGATTTAAGCATAACAATTTTGTCCTTAATATTTACTCACCAAACAATAACAACGGTGAAATGTGTTTATCGTCTTAAATGTCCGTGTCTTGGACATTCATGCCGTTAACATTTAGTTTGGAAGTGGGAGATGTGGGTGTCAGGTAAACTAGAGGCCTGGGAGGGTTCCTAGTCTTCCCAATGAAGGTCATGAGTTACCCTGGATTATGTGGGAAACGTTACAGTGTTAGCACCTCCAACCTACTTTTTTTTTGGAACATCTCTCTTGCACTCCTACCTTAAAAAAAAATATGTAGATGTACAGGCATTGACATATGCCTATGTGTTTGCATATGCACACATACATACCTATGAAAGCATTTCATTTTTTCCTGCTCTTCTGTGAAAGTTTCTGTGGCTCCATGGATTATAGCAGAAAATGATTCCCAGTGTTTCCACAAGTCCGTACCCCAGCAAAGTATCTAGTAGGCTGGCAGAGCTGGGGGACAGGCGGACATTTGGTGCCAGCGTTACAATGCTTGGAGCTCTGGGGAAGAGTGCTTGGCAGTTGTATAACAGGTCCTGAGGACGACACTGCCCTCTGTTCGTGTTTTCCTCCATTTCCTCCATTCCTCCATCTGTAAATAGGCAGCATTAGAGAAAGTTCTGGGAAAACAAGTTCACAGCCTCGACTGCAGCAGAAAGGGCAATGTGGCAGCCCTGCTGACTGATTTACACCTGCTTATGCTGGAATGCTAAGTGGTGGGCATGGAGCCCATGATCAGAGTTATGGGAGGACACACTCATGGCTGTCCGAGTCACTGGGTAGCTGCTCAGCACCCGTTTGAGGCAGTGACCCCCTCTCACCAGCCAGCAGAGTTATGCAGACTTTGGAAGGTTTGCAGGGATACACGTGGGAAAGCTGTCTGGACTCTCAAAGCGGAAGTGTCTCCCACTTAGGTCAGGAGGCGTGGATGACAGTGTGTTTTCCATGTTTTTCCCACTTTTGGGTTTCAAACATGTTCAGTTCGTTTTCCAAATTTAACATCATAAAGTTGAATATTGTGTTGACATGTTTACAGTTGGTCTACCACTGCGTATCCATCTTAACTGTTCATCAGATCAACCAACTTTGTAACTCTAGGAGGCTGGTGTGTAATAGATGCGTTTAATATTGGGCATGCCCAAACACTTAGACTTTTACATTGATATGTCTGTCTTTCTTCTTCTCTGATTTCCATGAGAGAGCCAAAAAACTTTAAAAACAAGGGCATTTCTAGGTACTTGGCACAGCTAGAGAACTTTGGGAGATTAGTAAAATACCTAAAACCTATTGCTATTGTTCATTTTAAAACAAAGGAAAACAGATTACAGAAATGAAAACATTGACACTGGAAGGCTTTCAGAGTAAGAGGTTTATCTCAGGATTTCCTTGTAAGTTTTCATGATTAATTCATTGCTTTTCTCTGCTCATTAACCCTCTGTTTCCCGTGGAAGTGCTCTGTCTCCCATTGCTTTAGAATTATTTTCCCTAGTCTCTGCCTTGGCTTCATTTACCATTGGAAGTGAGGCTTTTCATATAATGTATTTTTACTTTTTCCCTATTTCTAGAGGACGCTTCTATGTCTTAAAATGTCCTAAATGGATTATAATCACCAAGCTTTAATGTGTGCACAGCCCAATTATTTGGGTGTATGTTAGGCAGAGGGATTGTTATAATTCTGCCATGGAGTTTTAAAGAAAGTAGTTTTTAAATTGTTGTCTGCAAACTTTTAACTCCTCAAAGATAGCTTCTAATTTAAGAAAATGGCTAATCACTTTTTTCCTCTTAGAATAGTTTCCTAGGAAACCACTATACAGATTCACAGTAAATCACAGTGTACACCAAAGGGAAAATAAGATGGCCTTTGACATTTATGTTAGTATTTTTAAAAAATTAATCATAGTACATACTCTAATGTGTTTTTTAAATGTCAGGCTGTTGAAAGCATAAATATAATATAGGTGGTAGCTGATAATACTAATAGTGTACAGGAGCTTCATATGTGTCTTCATTTGGGAACAGACTGGGTGAATGTTCCCTTTCTCTCTCTGAGATGCCATGAGGGCCTGCTGGACCAGGCACACCAGAAATGTCAGCGTCCAGTGCAGCTCTCATGGCAGAGGATTCAGTGAGGCTGGGCCCTTCGAAGTGGGGAGCCCTGTGCTGACACAGATTGTACACCCTGAAGCCCACCCTGCTTGTTCATGAGAATGAATAAGATGAGATTCACACCAAAACTTTATTTTGATTAAAATAGGATTTCTTAGGGGCTGGGGGTTTAGCTCAGCGACATAAGCACCTGCCTTGCAAGCAGGCGGTTGTGAGTTCGATCCCCGGTACCGATAAAAATGAAAAAGACAAAAAAAAAAACAAAACAAACAAACAAAAAAAAACAAAAACAGGATTTCTCTTTATAGAGTAAACGAGTATGTATATGTATTTTGCAAATAGCCAGCTATGAATATGACACACATTTATTGTTAGATGAGCATTGCCTTCTGTCACTTAGCTGTGTCCCTAAAGCAGCATGTTAGCATGCAAGCATGCCAAGAAGCAGCCTGCATTTATTGTTTTTAACGTAGACATTCTTACCATGAATTGGAGGTCAGCAATGCAAGCAGTCACAGTCACTGGGACCAGAGATTTTCCAGTGTGAGTTTCATTAATTCCAAAATGTGACCAAAAAGTCAGACTTACAAGTATTTCTACCAATCCTAAAGTATGTGTTTTTGTCAATGAGGTGTTTGTTGTTTCTTTCCTGGTAGATTAAGAGAGGGAAAAAAAAAGGGGAAAGCCAAAACAGTTAAACGTTTTACACCAATATCCTTGAAATGTTGATAAATATTCAAAGCTTATTTGACTCATGTTTCTATCTGTGAGCGCTTTCATGCTCTCACATAGAATCAGGTAGAAGTCCTCTTTGTTCCTGTACCAGGTACCTGTCGACCTGACTCCCATGCTGGGAGATTCTTGGCATTAACTTTTGTTTTGGAATTGTTACTATGATGGATAGGTAACACGGTGGAAGGAGGTTTATTCCAGGAATCCATTCCACTATGAGGAAATCATGTGGTATGCTGCTAGCTCCAAAAGAGACCCTATTTCTCTTTTAAGTCCGCAGTGTAGGAAAAAACAATTGTTTTTATTAAATATGTTGAGATTTTCCATCAAGAGTCTGTCAGCTTCCAGCAGTATTTGAGATTTGGATTCCATCTATGAACTGTTATCTCAAGGAAGATTCCACAGTTGAACCGTGGATTTTTAGTCATTCTCTCTGGCCCTTCCTATTCCCCATTGGTGGGATTCCTTGAGTATACTAGTAAAATAACAGTTAATTATTGCCTGGAGAAAATAGTACTCTTCCCAAAGGTTTTTACGTAGTAAATGCATTAGACTACACACACACACACAAACACACACACACAGAACAAGCATTTGAATTGGGTCTTTTTCCTTGTAGGCCAGGCTTCCTGCCTCGCTGGTGACAAGCAGCTGATCCTTCCTGTGCCTGAGGACACGCCTACCTCCATCACAGACATCAACCTGGAGGTGTCATTTGCTGAGCAAGCCTTCAATCAGAAACAGAACTCCAAGGACAAGATCCAGAAGACTAAAGGCAGTGATGCCTCCTTACCTGTACGTAGTGAACAGTCAGATGTTGCAAAAACAACCTGCTACGCTTTTTCAATCATCTTTTTCCTTTTAACACTTAGAACCCATATAAATGTTGAACATAGAATATAGTGAGCACTCTATGCTCATTTGCAGATTGCTTTTGTATGATTTTATAATCTTTCTGCATCTACCCACCTATCTGTATGATTCCCACTTTTTGTTTTGAGATTCTTGGGGTATACAAAACAAAACTGTTCATAATACTTCAGGAATTGAACACCAGCTCATACTTGTAATCCTAGCACTCAGGACAGACTGATAGCCCTGAGCTCAGGGCCAGCCTGGACTACCTAGCAACACCCTGTCTCAAAAACAAAGCAAAACAAAACACCCCCTCCAAAAAAACCCAACCAAAACAACGTTGTATAATACTTCAGAAATTGAACCCTCAACCCATTGGTCTATTGAGTAGGCAGCCGTGTTAGAATTTTCCTGCTTAAGATTGACTCTTATGGCTTCTCCCTTCACTGCTCTGTTTTGGGGTGTGACCAGGGAACATAATGCTACATCGTCAGTCTCTCGTTTTCTTGAAGTTGCTCCCCTTCTCCCTTAGTATTTTTGAAAACCTAGAGCAACTTTCTGATTTTGTCTGGTGGATTCCAGTTAAGCATTTTTAGCCCATCTATGGGCCAGTGGGTATTTATGCTTCCATTGCATGCTCATAGCTGTTGTGTGGCATCGGATAGTCACTGTTGGTGACACACATTTAATCACCAACTTGGCTAAAGAGACGTTCAGTAAGTCTCAGTGTAAAGCGACCTGTTTTGTATGCACTTAGTGCTCATTTGTGGTCCTTAAAACTGGGTGAATAATGTGATAACCCATTGCTGTCATTTGTCATTGTCCCAGAAACAGTAATGAAATGGAAACTTGAGAAGCAGTGGTTTTCTAATTCTTTACTCCTTCTGTGTTTATGGGTTAGCCATCTTCTGTAATAATCAGTTTCCTTGTCTGTGCTTCTATTTTTACTTTTTGGTATTGTTTTGTTTTGAAATATCACTAAAGTCTGGTGGCTTTATTGTTTTCATGCAGGGTTTTATAAATCATTGTCATTTTTCTTTGATGTTCAAGTTTACAGAGCTGTCAACAGTAGGAGCCTCTCTGAGCTGGTTTCCTTGTCACTGTAACCTCATGCATGTCATTCCTCTTCACTGCCCAACACAAGATGTACCAGACTCACTTTGTAATCTCAGACTCGAGAGCAGCTATGTCTCCAAGAAGCTCTAATTCCTGTTAGTAGCAAGTTGTTATTTAGACTCCAAGCTTTGTGTCTCAAGTATTCTCATCGCCACTGAATGCCTTATAATTCAAAAGAATACTTAGACTTTCAAATATATAAAGGTTAAAAAGAACAACATAATGAACCACAAGTACTCATCACCCAGACTAACATGTATTACCCGTAGCCAGTCCCAAAGTATCCAGCTCTATTCTGTGCTATTTCAAAACACATCACCAAATTACATTACATCTGTAAATACTTGTGTTGCTAAAAAAGGGAGGATTTTAAAGACATTATACTTTACAATCCTTAAATTTATATACCCGATCAGTGTTAAGATTTCAAATTGTATCACAGATTTCATGATGTTTTTGTACAGTTCAGCAATCAGCATCCAAACAAGGTCTATATATGCAAATCGACTGATGTCTTTCAGGGCTGTTTATCTCCTCCATTTCTTTCTTCCCCTGTCCTTTTCCCTTTCTCCTCACATCTGTCTGAAACACTCATCCCTGTGTTCCTTTCACCTCCTCTCCTCTTCTCCTCTTCTCTCTTCTTCCTCCCTTACCTCTTTCCCTTCTGTTTTCCTCTTTTTTCTCTCTCTGTGTTGCTGCCTCTGTCTTTCCATCCAGCCTTTTGACTCCGTTCCTCAGACTTTATTTGTCGAAGATACCTGGTTATTAAGGGGAGAGATTTCTTTCCCCTGGCTGACTTGCTCTCCTGGTACAGCTGCAAATCTGCCTTTATTAAGTGGCTGACTTTAGATGGGTTGGATACAGGTTCTGTTTCTTGTCTAGGCAGGTGATGACGTGTTCTCTTTCAAGAGACTCGTGTCTAGTTATATTATTTTTGGTGAAATTAATAACTGCTTAGGATCAATACCAGGGTTCTTAAGTTTATTAATGTTTATAAATGTTTGATATTTACCTCCCTTTTTCATTTGTTAATTTGGATAATTTAAGAAAAACTTCCTAAAAATATTTCCCAGTTTTCAAAAATGTTTTAAACTGATTCCTTAGCAACTTTAAACATTGACCAGTGTGTTTCTTTTATAAAAATAATGTCTTAACTCATGGATTCATATATATTTGATGTGAGCATTTCCAGGATTATCTGGCATCTTTTTTGTCCCAAACCTAAAATCACACTCTTCTGCAGGAGCCCCTGGTTCCACTTAGTAGAAAGACACTTTTGTGCCCGTAGCCAAGACAGTAGATGTGTTCGGTTCTCTGAGTTTCAGTGTTTTTCAGAGGACAGAAGCAGAACTGCTCTTCTGCCTCCTTGCTGGGTGTTGTGGAAGATGTATGTATTCTTTACCCTACGTTCATATACAGTGTTATCAGAATAACAACATTAACACGATCACCAGCCTGCACACTAAAAGTATTGAAACCTGTTTTTCTTTAATAGTTTGTGTCTGTGAGATGTATCCCAGCAAGGATTGCACATATTAAAATTATCATGCTGTAGGGTGGTAATTCTTGGGCTAAGTCATCAACTGCATACCTGGTTGGGTTAATTTGCTTCATTTTATTTTCAGATTTAACAGTTTGATTGAAATATAACCTTGTTTTATAATTGTGTAAAATCTTTATATGATCCAAAGACAAATCTAGAAACAAGGTGTGTACAGATCTAGCTTTGACCCCTGAGCGAGTCCCCTACTCCACTCCTCCTGTTGGAGGCAAACTTCTTATTAATACTGTGGCTTACCCATAAGTTTTAAGTAAGTAGTAGTTCACTATACACACCTTCCTAACTTTAATTCTATTTGTTTATTTTCTTAGTATATCCTTAAAATCTTGCTTTAGTAAAAAGTATCTCATTCCTTTTTACAGATACACTGCCCTCCACTGTACGATTGTATTATAATTTATACAACCAGCGATGGCAGATGTTTGGTTATTTCCAGGATTTCTTGTGTATTTTGAAGAATCTGTTCTTAATACCTAGTGGAAAAGTAAAGAAGTTTGCAAAATTTGACATCAAGTGATGATCTACACCCTCAGATGATGCGTTCTTAGGGATCGCAGAAGATGGAAAGGCTTGCAATGGAAGGATTGTAGGCTATAATTAAACAAGATGCAGATACACTTGACTTTGGTTGGCTCAAAACAATGGCATAAAACCTAATTAATCTCCACTTGGGGGGTTGCTAAAACAAAACTTTCTCTCCCATTTTATTCCCCATTTAATGAACTAATCTGGACATGCTACCATCTTGGTTCTGTTCATTTACCCCAAAATGACATTTCTCTTCCAGAGTATGAGCTTAGATTAATATTTGGAATCACATGTTAAATTATCAGGGGCATGCTCTTCATAAGTATTATTAATCTGCCTATGTATTTGTTTTTACATGTGCCGCATCTATTAGTTTCCACAACCTTTTTAATCTAAAAAGTGTTGTAAAGATTAACATGGTCAATGAAGTGAATATTTATATTCACTTCCCTGCAGCAAGTATCAAGGAGATAAAACCTTCATTCCCATTTCTACCCCACACTTCCCTGGCTCCATAAATAAGCAGAGGCTTTAGGCAGTGTGTGGTTCTCCAGTGACCTCATTTAATATTTACTTCCTTTTTCTTAGTGCGCTGAGCAGTCCTAGTTAATTCTCTGTGATCTTTCCCAGTGGATTCAAATTGCCCCTCTTGAATTTAGGGATCCGGTTTTATAACCTTTAATGTGCTTTAGTTTGAAAATTTAGCTACCGTGCATGGACGCACTCAGAAATAATGCTGGCAGTTCCTCCCTTACCAAATGATCTTTGAGAGGTAGACATTATTCTCCCTATTTTTTATATTAGAGAGAGTACATGGCATGCCAGGCCTGACTCGTGTGACTAAGCCTTTGAAGGTTTTGCCTTTCCACACTGGGGCTAAAGGGTTTCCATGGGGCCAAGTTCATCACTGGAGACATGCCCCTTGGCCCCCTTGTAGTGTAAGACCTGTGAAGAGGGGTATGGGCAGAGAGTGCTTCCTTGTTAATCTACATAGGACATGGGAAAAGTGACCTTCCATTTAAAACAGTGTTTCATTTTCTCTTTAAACTTTTTTTTAAAAAAGGTAAAGAGCTTTTCTCCTGATGAAATTCCACTGTTGTCTCTGAGCCAAGGAACTCAACCATTGAGTCTATTAACTAAACAAAAATGATGAGAAACTTCATACATATTTAAAGGGGCTGCCGGGAGCCCAAAATTGGGATAAAGAGCTAACGCCTTCATTAAGCCCAAATAAATAAATAATCCCACACTGTATGTTGGTGGGTAAATCCAGTGTTTGAACTAATCAGATTTTGGGTTTCTCTAAACATTTACCTTGGGTAATGCTTTAAGAATAATTACATTGTGTGTGTTTGACATATTAAACCAAAAGCAATTGATTTCAGTGAAACATTAAAAAAATGTGTAAAGGAGTAAAAATATGGTTGGTTCCTCAAGAAAACAAAACCATCAGGAGTCACATAGGACCAAGCCAAGAAAAAGGTGACAAGGTTTGCATGGTTCCTAAAAGTAAAGCTCAGTGAAGATCACAAAAAAAAATCAGGAGAACACCCAGTAAATTTGATTCTGAGTCTTCTCTGTCGGCGTGTGTTTCTTTATTCCTTGGTAGACAGTAGCAGAACCCTGGAAGTGATAGGGAGTGACAGGCTATAACAGGACCTTTTTGCTTTTCTTTTCTGAGACTGGGCTGGTTTTGAACTGTGGAGCCAAGGCTGGCCTTGAATTCATGACAACCCTTCTGCCTCGGCCTCTGGGTGTCAGGATCCTCTGGACTCAGGGACTCCCAGACCTACATCAATACAGATCAACCGAAATTTCTGCCTCCTGCAGCGCAGATGGGGCGGTGAGCAGACTGGTCGCTAAATCTGGGGCGTAGGAGACCCGAGTTTGCATCCATCAGATGTCCCTGACGTGTGACCATGTTTAAGCCTTTGTGCTGAGCCTCAGTTTTCCCAGCTAAAATGTGCCATAGTGAATCCTACCGATTTGGATGTTTGCAGGATATAGCATTATCTTGACCATTTTTAAAAACTTGTCATAATATTTAGGAAAAAAGGACAACCATGAGAACTGAAATTATTTGAAGAGTTCTGTGGGAAAAAAATGGAATACAAAAGCTGGACACTTTTTGAAGCATACTACTAGGTGCCATTCGGTCCCTTCACCATGGCCTTCTAAAGTGAGACCCACTTCTGGCGCACTTTACAGATTAGGACGTGAGACAGGGAGATGATGTGTCAGTGGGTGATGGAGCCAGAAACCGCTCCACAGCCCCGGAGGCCAATGCTGGAAGCCCTCGTGGGCACCGTCTGTGGCGCCCATGCTGTGCTGCCACCGCTCTTGCAGGAAAAAGAAACATGCTAGCCAGAGTTCAAAACAAAACAGAACCTTCACTATAAGTGAAGGAGAGGGATTCTCCTGGCACTGTTTGCTTGAAAGGAATTGGCTGCTCAGTTACCAGAAGTTTTTGATTTTAGGAATTCTGTGAGTATAGTGACTCTGGCTTTTTTTATAATCAAATTATTTTTTAATTTTACTAATGTGTGCTTGCAGTACATGATGAATACAGTTATCACTTGGTGTTGGGATGTGTACATAATGCTCTCAATTCTCTTCTCTCATTTTTTAAAATTTTATAATCCCCCCCCAGTCTTCCTTTCATTTTGTGTTCTTAGGGATCTTTTTCAAGTGCATGGGGGGACCAGAAGGGGAGTAGGGAAGGGAACAAGGGAAGGAATGGGAAAAAAAGAACTGAAGGGGGAAAATGATGAAATTAGAGATTTGCAAATGGAAAGAGGATCAAGCATTGGAGAAATTAAAAAAAATTAATCTATTTAAAGAACCTCTCATTGTTGACATAAATACCCTTGTAAAAGGAATGAACCATGTTTTCTAAAGCTAAAAGTTGGGAAGAACAGCGAGGTTTTAATTTTTGTGTCTGATGTCTGGCTGTGTCCTGCATTCAGCCTGTTGTAATAGCATAAGTCACTCACCCTGGAAAGGTCTACACCCTGGAAGTTCTAGTCATGGGTAGTTTGTTCTTTCTTATTATTTTGACTTCTTGGACATCTTGGGTGGGCCTGCCAGGGCCCGTGGACCACACTTGGAGAACTGGTGCCACGGTAGGTCGCGTCTCTTGCACAACTGTCTGGACCCTGAAGCGTTAATGATTTGGTGCAAGAATCAGCAAAGCAGAGGGAGTAAAAAAGAATCAGCTGAATGTCCTTGGCAAAGAAATAGGGAAGTCAAGGTAAACCCAGAGACGTGATCTTGATGACAGGATTTTTATGAGGCTACCAGAGGAGGATCGCTGGTGTAGTCGGCATGCACAGGGAGGGCTCTAATTTGTATTAAACATGCTATGCAAATTTGTGTCTGTGCCTCATTTTCTTCTATTTAATGTTGAAAAAGTTGAAGAGGTGGTATTTTGGGAAAGGCATAAAACAGCAAGTGTACTGTGTGTGTGTGTGTCTGTGAGAGAGAGAGAGATTGAGATTGAGAAAGAGTGAGCCTGGGTGGTTTGTACCTCTCAGCACATTCACTGGTGAAGGTAATAGCAACCTCAAATTGGGAAGTAGCGGACATCTACACCTTACAGCATCCCTCTGAATGGCTCCTCCTCCTTTTTTTCCCCTTCCCTCTCCTTTCCCTTCCTCCCATTTTACAGAAAGAAAGACTAAGTATTTTCCAAGTCCCACAGCCAGTGAACGGCTGGTTGATTTTGGCTCTAAAGTCCATGCCACTTACAACCCCAACTCTCTGTAGCCTTTTTGTGACCAGTCTTGTTATTTATGACAAGTAGAAGATATGCAACCTGGGTAAAGGTTAACTGGCACACTCTGAGCGTGTCTTGTGGCTGTGTTCCTCTGCCTGTTCCGCCTGTTTCTCTTTGTCATATCATCTACCTCCTCCTGTCCCCTTCCTCCTCGTGGTGCATGCCTGACTTGTGATGATTGGTTCTTTTTGGTTCATTAACTAGAAATCATTTTCTCCTTGTTGTCTATCTTGTCCTCTGAATCGCTGCTATGAGTCCTCCCAGTTCAAGGTCCTTCTGCTGTGTGTTGGACTTCAGATGTGGAGTAGTCCCTGCAGCCATAGGGACGCTCAGAGCCACGGCTGTTCTGCCGTCTACGCAAGACATTCCACCGTGGCTTTGTCGCTTAATCCGAGTTTAACTTCTCTGTATAGTACCAATTGCAAAAGCATTTAGATACTGTAAACTTTTGCTGTACTAATGGCATTTATTTTAGAGTTTCAGATTGCCAAAAGATAAAACGGGCACCACAAAGATGGGTGACCTCGCCCCCCAGGACATGAAGAAAGTGTGCTATTTAGCCTTCATTGAGCTGACCGCCCTCTATGACGTGCTGGGTCTTGAACTGAAACAACAAAAAGCTGTGAAAATCAAGACAAGAGGTAACCTTGAGGCAAAAAATAGATTTATTCCTGCAGTAGCAGAAATGCATGTGGCTGCCTCGTGGGGGTGGAGGTGAGAGTGGGTAAGGTGATACCTCGAGGTAAATGAAGTCTACAATACACTGAAAGCCAGATTCTGAAACGTTGCCTGCAAAATATTTGTGATTCAGTGAAGACATACCCTGTCCTAGACCACAGAATAAAGTCATGATTGAATAATTACATTCCCATGGGAAGGAAATTGGGAATCTACAAATTCTAACACCTGTGTTCTGTCTTTCAGAAACTGTATATTTAAGGTCCATTTGGTGCACATAGTTATTATTTTCCAATCTTGAATGACTGCATAGTAGTGGATCCTGAGTGATTATTTTTCCTCTTCAAGATGGGGAAACGCATGAAGTAGTTAACAGCCTGACCCTTTGTTTGCATATAATTTTAATTATTGTATAAAAGCATCGTTTCCCCTGTTAGAGTTGCTATTGTGACGCTCATTATCATTCAGGTTCAGTCTATGCCTCCTTCATGGGTGCAGCTTTTCTTTTGTACACAGCGTGCTGTCTCCATCGCATGAACAGGGAACTGCTTATCAGAGTGGATGCCTCTGCCGCTTCTGTCTCTCTAAGGTTTTATTGGTCTCCAAGTCCAGATAAGGCTCTTAGGATGAAGGTTCACTGTTTAGGAATCTCTGTCCTCTTGTTTAAGCATTAAAGGTATCTCTTGAAGAGACACCAAGAAGGTGGATCGAGTTGCCATGGCAACCCCTGCCAAGCCAAGCACTCACCTGGTTCAGGTTTCAGCAGCTTTTCCACTGTGGGCTGGAGCTTAGGCCTCCTGTCTTGGACCCGAAGGCATCATGGTGAGCTCAGGTCTGGGAGGATTTTAGCTTGAGGCCTGAGGTGATAAACTTTAGAATGAAATGGTTCTTCTGGTTTTCTCCAAGTCCATTATGGAAAAAAAAAAAAAATCACAGATGATTTTTTGGGAGCCAGATGCTGGGGTAGTCATACCTGCCGTCCCAGTACTTAAAGGCTGAAAAGTTTGAGCCTCACTGAGGCTTCTTGGCAAGATCACATCTCAGAATCAAAAAGGATGCAAGATGCACCTCAGTCAGAGCACTGCTGCAAAAAGAAAGAAACAGAAAAGTAAAAGGTGCTTTTCTGAAGTTCATTACAAAATCTCAGAGCCTTCTCCAATCATGAAATAGCATAGATATAAAACAGTTGCAACTCAGCGGTGATGCTTCTTAAAGTGGCTTAGAGAAGTTTTGCTTTTCTTTATTTTTTTCCTTTTAGTATTGAGTATTGAGCATAAAGAGTGCAAAATTATGTCTCTTGCCCATTTTTCATTATTGAGTCAATCAATTATGATAATTGATTGATTAATTGGTTGATTCCTAAATTGCCCATGGTGGCCTCAAATTTGCCATCCTGCTGCCTCAGCCTCCCAAAGGAAAGGGATACAGGCCTGCGCCACTACACTGGGCCCTTATTTTTGTTTCTAGTTATGTTCTGAAGTTCCTTCAAAGTGGTGAAACATCAAGTTCTTATTTAAAACTATCCTTGTTTTAATGGAAGCAGTGAAAATTCTTTCCAGCATTGGAAAAAAAAAATCTATCTTATCCAAGATATTCCTGCTGTATAGTAGACACTTGGCATTCTTGAGATTGCATCTTAGTTCCCAAACCAAGAAGTCATTTCCTGGGTTACTGGCATTCTTTGCATTATACTGCGGTGTCTGAGTGGCTGATGCTGTCATTTTCCTGGCTGGGGCTCCGTAAATCCTTGGCTAATTGAATGACAGTGTCAGAAATCCCTCCACGTTTCTGTTTTTTATTAACAATGGAAGTAAAGCAGCTTTGTTTTCCCATTACAGATTCTGGTCTTTTTGGTGTTTCATTGACCATGTTGTTAGAAAAAGATCAGAGGACAGTACCAGGAACTCGAATACCCTTGATCTTTCAAAAAGTAAGTCGGCCTGAACTGGATGGTGGGGAGAGAAGACACTTAAACATATAATATGTTTTTTGTTTTGTTTTGTTTTGTTTTTTTACTCATGCTATTAGAATATAGTTTTGTAACTGATATGTTGTTTTATTTTGTACTTCGATTTTCTATTCAGGAAGCAAATTTCTTTCAAGGGCTCATAATTTTTATTTCATGGTGATGCTTTCTCTGTTATTACTGTAACTGTGATTACCTGCCCTCATTTTCCTGTCTTATATTAGCTGCTTTTGTATAATTGAGATTTCAGTTCTATAATACATAGGAAAGGGAACTGCTTATAAATTTCTAGGGAATTGAGCCCTCATGAATATTTCATGCCCGCATGTATTTCCCAAGCTTTCCCATTTACAGGGAGGATGTCCAATTTAATTTCCCAGTGTCTGTGTCCAAAATAGGCAAAGAAACCATAAAGTAGAATTAGGAAATGATTGCTAAACTGTCAAGTCGCTTGTGCAGTCAACACACTATTGTACATAAAGAGATTATCCATAGCAATAAAAAGCTTCAACCCAACCTCTGAGCCATCCCTGTGCAGGGACACAGATTACATCTGTTCAGAGCCAGGCAGTGCAGGAGAGAAAGCGGCCATTCAGTTGCGACTACCCAAGCTGGAGCATCATCAAGCAGCCGGGGGTGTCAGGGCTTCTGAGATATCCAGGGACAGAAGAAATTGACTCAAAAAGTTGATTGGTCTAGCAAACTCACCCAGTCCCTTAGTGCTTCGTTTTCCTTGATTCCGAATCTGTCACTTCCCTGTCCTAGCTGTCCGTCTGTGCTTTTGTTCCTTGTCTCACGTTCATCCCCGGGAATTTTTTCTGATGAATTTGGCTCTGCCTGGTGTGTCCTGTTCCTTGACCTCCACCATAGGATGCCCATAGAACCAGTATGGGAATGGGCAGCTGTCAACAGCACCTGTGATTAAGACAGGCAGAAAATGCAGACTACATAATAAATTCGAGGGTCAGTAGAAATTGTTAGACACAGGTGGTTTTGCAAAGCAGGGAACCTCAGCAGTGCCCCTGCCAGATGAATCAGCTAACGTTTAGCAAAACCAAATTGATAGGTTGTATGCAGAGATGGAGAGGTTTATTTTAAAGAATTTGATATCATTGTGGACATTGAGGAATCCAATATACCATGAGTGGAGCAGCCAGCAGGCTAGAGACATGGGCAAAAGTGGGTGCTGTGGGCTTGCAGCAGAACAGCTGCTTTTTTGGGGAACCTCCATCTTTAATTTGAGGCCTTCCATTGATTGGACAAGGCCCACCACAGCATTACAGAGGAATGTATCTGATTTACTCAAACTCTGCTGATTTAAATTCTGGTCACATCTAACTGAAAAGATGGTAGTGGTACCATCTAGGTTGGTGCTCAAAGTGGACACAATATCCTTGCCAAATCGGCACACAGTTATCAATGTGCCAGGGAAGATCAGCAAGCTTGGGGCTTTATGAGGTTCTGGTGCCAACTGTGGATCTCATCTTAAGAAAGATCCTCTTTGTCATTGCTCTGGGCATCATTATTTTGCTGCTTTGTGTTTTTGTATGTATAAAATTATACTTTACACTCCGGAAGCTCTTCAGGGTTTTGGGGACTTTGGGAGCCTGTAAGTTCCTAGTCCTGCATAACAGCTCCACACGTTTTCATTCGGGTATGAAATGCAAGGGGCCGAGAAGGGTTCACTTGTAGGGCGCACTTTTCTGTGTGAACCCCCTGAACTAGAAGCAATAAGTTACAGTGTTCTGCTATGCAAATTATGTTTTGATTTATAGCTGACAACTTAGTTTTGTAAAAAGAAAGATTTGGGAACCAGAGTAGGCAAAGTGCGTAACAAGAAGACTGATGATTGCCAGACTTCGGGGAGCTACACTTGAATGTTGAAGCAATATTGTGGGACCACAAAGTGCACTCATAAAGCTTATCTGTTGTCAGTGAATCGTATCTGTTTGGCTTTTTTCTCTAGCGTTGTGGAAAGAGGCACATTTTTAAACTACATCCTCAGACAGGGCTGGAGAGACAGAATGGTTAATTATAATCTGTGGGGAAAGAGAACTTGATAGAATTAGCCATGCTGGCATGCTCACTGTCAAGCCAATTGGGGAAATCAAACACACCATGTATTAAAAAAAAATCTGACTTTATTTGATTTTTCAGTTTCCGTATTTTGAGAAATGCTATAAATTACTGATAAAGTACAGACTATGTAAGATGAATTACAGGCCACTTAAGATAAATCACTGAAAACAATATAATTATATAGAAAAATATATTCTGTCTTTTAAGTTTGAAAGTTAAAGCTATTGATTGTTATTATATTTTCATAATGTAATATAATGTGGTAGCCAAGACAGTTCTTTTTGTTTTGGTGGTACCAAGGTTGAGCTCGGGAGACCATGCATGGCGAGACAATCTCTCTCCCACTGACCTAATGTTCTCAACCCTTTTTTGAGGTAGGCTCTCATCAAGTTGCCTACTCTGGCTTTGAGCTTGCTGCCCTCCTGCCTCAGCCTCCTAAGTAGCTGTGGGTACCATGCCTTGCTCTAAAACTTTATTTTCAAGATGAGAAGAAAATATGGATCATTTTTTCAGACAGTGTTCATAACTATTAGATGTTGTTCAGCTTTACAGAATAATAAAATGACTCAAATATAAAAATTCAGAAATTTCTCTCAGTTATTTAGAGATTGAAACTTTTGAGTATTTAATGAAAGCAAAAGTCATATACTACTAAAACATTTACCTCAGCAGGGAGCACCTTATTTTATTCTTACTAGTATAGAAAAGCATTTAAACATTTTGCAAGGTAAAATAAAAATCAGTGATATTTATAAATTTTAATACCTATGGAAATTGAATAGTTACAAATTGGTTTTAAATGCTTTTATTAAGTAATGCTCAGTTAACTAAAATTTTTAGTCTTTGCTATGGGATTTTATCCAGTGTAATTGGAAAAGTATGATCTTGAAAAATACTTGTTTAGTTTTTTAAAACAATAATTCACTGTCTTACTGGTCAAAGATGCTTGAACTAATAATAGGTTACTAGGATTGTTTGTTTGTGTTGCTGGGTTTTAAACCCAGGGTATTCACACTGACCTATATCCCTACTGCTTTGTAATTGTATTTTGACACAGCATTTCACCTGGTTGCCCAGGCTGCTGTTACTGTCTCAGCCTTCCAGAATGCTGGGATCGTAGGCACAGTGCCACTAAGACCTGGCCGTAGAGCAGCTTTGGGACTGTCTGGGTTTGATGCTCACCTGAGGCCTCAGTGTGAGAGCATCTTCAGCTGTGACCTAATGCAAGGATTCAGGAAGTCCAGACACTGAAGAAAAAGAGCCCCGGGCTCCAGTGTCTCCACCCTACCCTGTCCCGGAGTTTTGGGCATCAGTTCAAAGGGCAAAGACTTTATGATGCCCTGTTCTGCTCTTGACACTTTTATATGGAAGGAGAATCAGGAAGAACTCTGTGCCTTATAGAGCCTTTGTGAATCAGCAAAGATGTCCCTGAAGAAAAAAATAGTTCTTACATTTCTTTGCTCTCTGGGTGGTTTTATGCCTTAGGGTGCACAGAAACAGTTACAGGAGACAGCAGAGGAGGGATGGTGGGGTTAGTCTGTTAGGGGAGGAGAAGCCTGTTGGGTGAGGGGTGCGTGTTGCAGCCAAAAGACCCTGTGCGCAGTGTGTGGGTGCTTGGTTTAAACTTAGGACGACTTGGAAACTGGTTTCCTTCAAGTCAGTAGCACAGCCCTCATCACACACAGCCCAGGTACCGCAAGGCCAGGTCTTCCCGATGCAAGCCCAGCCCGCCAGGGGACCCACGGCACTTTTACCTCCTTGAGAGTCTTCAGCAGTTCATTGCTGTAATTCCCTCATTTGCCTTATTGTTAAGAGTTTCTGGCTTACGTATTTGAAGAGAACTTTATTTTCATGGGGTTTTTATGATTTAATTGATGCCTTCTTCAAGAGTATTTTTCTTACAGTTTACTACTGATGGCTTTATAATGAGTATTAAACTAGGTGTAATCCCAGGACTCTGGGAGGCTGAGGCAGGAGGCTAAGTTTGAGCCCAGTCTGGGGAATTGAGTGAGATTCTGTCTCAAAGTAGAAGGTTCTGTCTCAAGGTTCAGTGCCCCGCACCGCCAAAAAAGGAATCAGTTTTTTTCTTCGTGTCCTAAGTAATTCTTCCCTGAGACAACGCAAAAATCAGATGTAAATGGAGAAACACTACAGTTTCATGAGATTCATTTGGTTGTACAACGTATGTTCCTGGAAAAGCATGGAAAATGCAAGTTTTAGTTGCTTCTCAGTAGGAGCTTCTCTCTTCTCGTTTGGAAGACCACAGCCATTCTGTGATAAAGTAGAACAAGACCCAGCCTTCTCTAAATCGTAACTAAAGCTTTTGGACTTTCTGTTTTAAAGAAAGGATTTAGAACCGCGTACAATCCAGTTCGGTATCAGTGTGACCAGCTTTCCTGTACTCATATGTGAAACAAATGTTAAAATTGTACCTGTTACAAACAGCAGAATCAGAGCGGTTTTCTGTTCCCACAGCTGATTTCTCGCATTGAGGAGGGAGGTCTGGATACCGAAGGGCTCCTGCGGATACCTGGTGCTGCAGTTAGAATTAAGGTAACGTGACCTCGGGGCTCTGCCGATGTACATTTTAGATGTACGTTTCATGGTTTCATTGCAGGTTTGCATTTTAAAATACAGCTTCTCATCCCCACCTCCTTGTTCCTATTGGTAGATAAGTGGGTAAATTAAAAGAATACAATCACTTAACACTCATAATACCTAAGGAGATAGACAATTCTCCTTAAGGAAGCAAGAGGCATTATGGTAACCACTGTTGATAACCTTGTACTCTGTTTTTATATCATATGCTATGTCTATCCTTGGTTTTGACTGACAGCTTTGTTTTATCATGTTTGATTTTATTCTCTTACAAAAAAGTAATAAGATCTATGGGAGCAATAAAACCCAAAATGTGTAAATTTTATTGTAATAAAGAGAGGGAAAAAAAAGTGCCCTAGAGGGTACAACAGCAAGTGTGTTTAGGGGTGTTAAATAGATGACCATATTAATATTTTTGATTGGATCATTGAACACAACTATTTTCAGTCTCACTGTTTGAATGTTCACTTTGTGACCTGAATCACCATTTCAAAGATGATAGTGTGTAATCTATTAACTGGTGATATCTTACTGGTTTTTTTTCTGTAATTCTGTATTACTTGTACCCTTACACTGTTTTGTTTTGTTCTGTTTTATTTTCTCTTTTTCTTTTTAAATAAAAAAAAATCACTTAACACTCAGTGCGTCTTTAACTTTTTCATTTTGGTCTTTTCGAGATAGTGTCTCATGATGCAGTTCAGCCCGTTCTTGAACTTTCTTTATAGCCCAGGCTTTTCTCAGACTCACAATGATCCTCTTGCCTCAGCATCCTGAGTACTGGGATTATAGACGTGCACCACTATGCCCAGCTATCAGTCTTTATTCTTTATGGTCACTGTATTACCTCTGATGAGGCTGCGATCTACAGAACAGGATGCGTGCACAGGTCAGCGGGGGGCGGGTTCAGTCAGGATGAGTAGAAACAGTTGAAGTTTTACTGTAAAACAGACAGGAACCCAAGACTCGGCAGTGAGCTGACAAGGAATTGTGACACAGGCTCCCATCCGTAGTCAGTCTCTGTGAATGGGCCCGATGAGACTCTCACAGCTCCCCATGTCACTGGAGCCAGGGTAGCCTGGATCGGAAGTGAGTGGATTCCTAGACTTGGCAGTTTGTTGCCCATTTTCCTCACTCACTATTTTCTCTCTCTGTGTGGCATTTCCTTCATCAGTGTGCCCCAATTCCTGTTCTGGGAAAGAAAGCATCCAGTGAAAGCACAGGAAAGGTGGAATAAAGCCAGGCATGGTGGTGCATGCCTGTAATGTCAGCACTCTGGGAGGCTGAGGCAGGAGGATGGCTAGTCTAAGCCCAGCCTGGCCAGTTGAAAGGCTTATCAAGACCCCATCTAAAATGGGTACAGGTCTTTTGCATCAGAGAGGGGAGCAAGCTATGGAGCACGGCAGGAGGGAGGAAAGGGGAAGGGAGTGAAGAAGAATTGAGATGTGTTGTGCATCTCATCTCAGCTCCTCATGATGAATGTGATCATCAGTGTACAGCAAACATGGGCTGCCAAAAATGGAAACTTGAAGGCAACCCAGTTCAAAGGCCTTGGAATGAGTCCTCAGACAGACACGCACGCACGCACGCACAGACGCGGGCTGACCCTACAGCTGGTGCATACTACACATGCTTCCCAGGAGTGTTTGCATTATAAAAGGGCATCCCTGCTTGGAAGCGCAGCTCTGTGTAAAAAAGTTGTCAAGAAAAATGCTTAATACTCCTTCACTATCTCTTGTCTTCGAGACCAGCTTTAGTTTTGTACTGAGATACTATGAGAAACTGCCCACATCCAGCATTCAACCTTCCCTGATTTGAGAACCCATCAGAAGACAGGACTGAGGGGCGGGACGTCTGAGCTCGCTTCCCATAGGTCTGCTCTGTATGAAAACTGCCAGGACAAAGCGGGTCTCAGTGGGTGTGCCTGGGCCCAGCCCGGGGTTCTGTGTTGCGGTGCTTCTGGGGTTGGGATTGCTGTGTGTGCTCCCCAAACTTTGCAGTGCCTGCTCATGTGATATATTTCTTTACCTTATCACACTGGCTGCAGTGTAGCTGGCTCTTAGCACACAGCAATCTCGTTTTCCTAGGATTCTGGTTCCCTGGCCCAGCAGCTCATACACATCAGCTCCTGTCCGTGCAGTGGACATTCCCAGCACTGCTTCTGTGTCTTTCTCAGTTTGCTAACTCGCTGTTGCCCAGATGCTTCTATCACCTACAGCGAGCTCATCAGTCAACCCGAGGTGCTGTGTGTGCTCCTGAGAGGTGCCCTCTCTCAGAGATCTCCCTTGGGGACGGATGGGTCCTGTCACTTTGTGAACTGGAGCCAGTGTGAGTCTTGTTGCTCAACTGGCTTCTCAGGCCACTTCAGCCCACAGGGCCCAAAACGTGTTCACGTTGGCACAGAGTGGGGAATGCAAAGTGGATTTTCTTTGGTGCCAGAAGAACAGCTAAATGTAATTTCCATGGAGGCCAACTAAGTGGGTCAAATTGGGCCAAGTCACCCAGCATGTTTTCATACGCCAGACTGTGTAGCAGGTGGTCCATTCCATTGGAAGTAATTTAAAAGTTAAACCAAAGTTGGCATGGTGGTACACTCCTGTAATCCCAGCACTCGGGAGGCTGAGGCAGGAGGATCATTGTGAGTTTGAGGCCAGCCTGAACTGCATAGTGAGACCCTGTCTCAAAAAGATAAAAAAAAAGAAAAAAAGCTAAACTTTAGTAATCTCTTTTCTTCCAGACTCCACCAGATTTCTTTGTGCTTTTCTCCCTTCTCCCCTCACTCTGCACCCCTCTGTTTTCCTTCTGTGCCTCTTTTCTTTCCCTTCTCTCTTTTTCTCCTTTCCACTACCCATTTCTGGGTTTACCCTCATATTTTTCACCCATTACAAAAATAATTAGGGTGGGGAATGTGTGTGGGTTAGGAAGAAGAAATGTGATAAATTCACCTTAAAAACTGAAGAAGGGCTGGGGTTGTAGCTCAGCAAGAGAGCGCTGGCCCAGCACGAGGGTTCCCTGAGTTCCATGACCAGCACTGCTGGATTGGGGCTTTTTCAAATAATAGAAATAACATAAACTGGGGGGAATGTTCAACACGATGAGATTTATGCCGTGGTCAAAAGCACGTGGCAAGAAGTAATGAGACTAAGTTGATTTATTAGTACTTCTGACTGGCAGATTTTGGGGCAGGCTTTGAGGCAAGTGAACTAGGTGTTTCCAGTTAACTCAAACTGCTTTCCCGAGGTGGCGATAGAATGTCTGTGCATTGCAGACAGAGATACCGATATGTTTTCACACCTCATTTGCTCTGGCATTTGCTGTTCCATTTCTCAGAGGTGACTAAGCAGAGGTAATCTGGTTAGGTTTGAGATTGATGATCCATTTGGTTATGTAATACAGTTATGAATAATTGAAAATGGTCTTTTTAATAGAGTGAAGGATTATAGAATCTAGCAGCGTGCCTCAAATGCAAAGACTGAACCAACATTTTTGCTCAATGTGTACTACTTAAAGTTTGTTGAGTAAATAAAAAAATGTGTGTGTGTGTGTGTGTGTGTGTGTGTGTGTGTGTGTGTATCTGTGTCTGTGTCTTCAGTAAAATTTCTCCTTGGTAAAGTACAACCAGAGTAGGAAGGCATCCTATTTCTCTGAGTAACAAAGTGATGACTTGGATACTGCAATACGTTTTCTTTTTCAGTGTAGAATTTTTGTAAAGTGGGAAATGTATCATGATCTCAGCAGGGGGACAAATGCATTTACTGATAGCTTTTTCTTTCTTTTTCTTTTTTTCTCTTTTTTGGCCTTGTGCCTTTCAGAATCTATGCCAAGAACTAGAAGCAAAGTTTTACGAAGGGACTTTTAATTGGGAAAACGTCAAACAGCACGATGCAGCCAGCCTACTGAAGCTCTTCATCCGGGAGCTGCCCCAGCCGCTGCTCAGTGTCGAGTACCTCAAAGCCTTCCAGGCCGTCCAGAGTAAGTGCCACCGTGCTTTAACACAGCCCTTGCACCGGTGCCATGCATATTAATTGTCTGCATGACACTTGGCAACCTGAGGCACACAGCCAGATGGATTTGGATAAACGCGGCAACTGGCACTCAGACGCCACATGTTGGCCCCCGTTCTTTTATAAATCTACATGTCCAAGTAAATAGGTAACGGATGTTCTCCTTGTGTGTAGGTTCAAGGCGAGGCGGGCAAGCAGTGCAGTGTAGTTTGGAGTTAAACGTAGAGGCGGCGTTACATTGCTCTCTCAGCAGAGGGAGTCACATAAGGTCTCTGAAAGAGTTTTGCAGCCAAGCATTCAAAGCAACCCTTACGGGGAAGCTGGGGATTAGCCGTTATCAGGGAAAGTACAGGAAGTCGTGGGAGAGTCTGGGAGCCTTTCCTGAAAACTTCAGTTCTGCCATGGTTAGGGAGCCAGGACAGGGCATTCTGCTGTCTCACGAGTGCGGAGCTGCACGCTGTGTTTTGTGTTCTGGGCGGGCACCAGACTGGTGTTTGTAGTCATCTTTACTCCTTGTCAAGGAGAGATCGCAGAAGGTTTATGTCTTGGCACAATTATTCATCTTATTTGTAGATGTCAGCAAAAGAGAAAAAAGTCCTCAGTTTTTAGATAATCATGTCTTTCGCTTCCACACTGGACCGTTTTTTACGGTGAAGGAGGGGCTTTCTCACTACTGACCTTGTCAGTCAGATCTGCTGTGAGCTCATCTGAAAGCCAGACTGAGATGAAGCTTTGGGTCAGCTTGTGTTGTTTCTTCAGGATTTCTAAGGAAGACATGAAATCTGCTGTGAAATTTTGTTTGTTTCTTAATGGATTCATTTAACAGACCAAACCTTCTGATTAAAAATTTTTGATTAATGTTGTTACTTTGCCTACATTTCCGAGGTATGGGTTAAAAGACTAAATCTGTTTCTGACAAAGTCATGTTGACACGATCCTAGCTACCCAGGGATTTCTTAGAATAGGACAGAGATGACCAGGAACAGTAGCAGTGGGGATGATAATGCACATTGCAGGCTGTTGAGTGGCTGCTTGGTTTTCTGGTTCTTTCCACGGCAGGTGTGGATCACCTCCTGTTTCCTAGGCCCCCTGTGACACATGGCTGTGGGAACTTGTGGACTCTTCCGCAGTCTATTTGCCCCCCATTAAAGGAAATATTGTGCACAGTTTAGATTGCAGCCTGGTACTCTCTCGTGGAAGGTCCCATCTCCTGTGCCTTTTCACCGGCCGGTGATCATGACGCAGAAGTGACAGTGATTTCCAGAGCTCTGTGTGTGTCTGCAAACAGACGGCCGCTTGTCATCCTATCCCAGTTGGAAGTGAGCATCCGAGAGACGGAAGTGGGAGCAGCTGGTCCCCCAGTCGCCCACAAACACCGCCCCCCCGCCAGTGCGCGCTGCTCAGTCTTTGTGTCTCACTTCTCGCTGAGATGTTTATGCCAAGTAACTTTTTCTTGGAAAATGCAAAAAAAAAAACCAAAACAGTGCAGGGAAATGTTCCTTAAAGAGAAGAGCTCAGCTCTGTGTCCTCTGTCTGCAGATCTTCCCACCAAGAAGCATCAGCTGCAGGCCTTGAACCTCCTCATCATCCTGCTACCTGACGCAAACAGAGACACGCTGAAGGTCAGCTGCCTGGGTTTGTATTCAGTACCCTGAGCCACAGGGTAATTGTCCATCATTTATGGCAAAACAACTTGATGTTTACACTGGAAATGTTAGTAAGTCCAAAACGAAAGGCCCTATTTTAAGGACAGATGGTGAGAGACCTCTTTTAACGATTTATTTTGTGGCTTGTGATTGTTTTGTTTTTGAATTTTCACTGTAACATTTGTTCTACCCAAGCAGGTTGTTCCAGTTCCTTGGTTAATAGAAACATAGATGCTTATTTTTTGTCCTTTTTTCTAGATTTTCCAAATTTTATTTCATGACTGCATGTTAAGAAGGGGGAAATAAATGTTTAAAAATCTTAAGGGTCATGAGACTTCTTCTCTAAAGATGCTACAATTGTAATTCCAAGGGATGGGGTGTGAGGTGGTTCTTAGTGTGTGAGCCTAAAGATAGACCAAGTCAAAGGAATTCTATTATTTCTTTAAGGGCTTAAGTTTCCAATTTATTTTACTTTGAAATGATTTGTTCTAAGAATTCTATGATTTAATACTATTTATTATAAATATTATCAGAAGCTGTTAATGATCAGCATGAATTATCTCATAGTGATTATCTTAATGACCCAAGCTAATAGAGTTGTTATAAAGGTTTATTTATTAACATGAAAACAATATATAAATGAATATTTACTTATGCTTTGACACTCCCTTAAATATTATTTTGAATAGGCAAGACCCTTCTTTATCCACTACATTTCTTTCTATTACAAAATGAAATCTCATGTCAAGCTATTTCTTGACATGTTGGTAAATCTCAGAAATGTTTTCTTGCGACTCATGAAAACACCTTGACTTCTAGCTGCATAAGAGATCAATCCTCAGCGCCCATGGAGTGAATATTACACTTAACTTTTCTGGATCCAGCAGCTCATGTGGATTGCTGGAGGCAGATGGGGAGAAGCTCCCCAGCACTCCCCTTTCACTGTCACATGTTATGGGGTGGGCCAACGACTGAGGCAGAGGCTGGCTCTAGGGAGCGGAACCTCCAGGTGCATGCATAGCACTGCATGTGGGGTGTGTCGATTGTGGGGTGTGTCAGCCTGTGACTGGGGGAGCCAGCCATGCACCCATCCTCATAGGAAGAGGAGCATTGTTCCCTCACTCACATAAAGGTCCCCATTTGTGTGACAACACGGTGGGTGGATGAGCAGCGTAGCACAGGAAGTGAGAAGCATGCGAGTTAAACCATCCCTGCACTCCAGGGGGTTCCAGGAGCTACAGGCGGAAACTATTCTTGCAGTGTGGGTTCTAATGATTGGGCAAAGCTGCCTAAATTATTCTCTGGACTTCACCATCAAATTCTTAAGCACAGTCTTTGCACAATTCTGTTTAAGAATATAATTTTTAAAAATTTAGGGCAGCTTTTAATTTGCAATCTTATAATTAATTAACTTTTGGGAGGATCAAAAACCAGGAGATGAAAAGAAGTGATTTTACTTATTTACAAAGCTTAAGTGACTTAATTAGCTGGCTTTGAAGAGGTTTCAAACAAGAACTCTAATTATAAAGAATGGTAACAGTACACCATGAGCCATAAACTTATAAGCTGTAAATTCAGTTTTTTCTGGTTTTGGTTTTTGAGACACCATTGCGCTATATAGTTCAGGCTGACTTTGAACTTGCCATAGATCCCAGGCTGACCTTATGGTGATCCTCCCGCCTCAGCCTCCCAAAGTGCTGAGATTACAGGTGTGCACCGCTGCCTAGCTCCCATTTAGCTTTATGAATGAGAAGGGAAGTTCCATGGCAGTGTGCTCTCAGGAGGCCCCATGCAAAGCTCCATCCCTCTCCCCAGTCCCTCATCTAGCAGGTCAGCATCACTGGAGGAATCAGTGATGGCTGATGTAGAACATTTCTGTGGCAGATTTGAGGGAGAAGGGGCTGCTGGTTGAATACTACATCCTGCCCTGAGGGCTAAGCAAGTGCCCTGCTGAGCGAGCATCATTTTTGCCTTGATCACTGTGTCTTTGGACCCGTGATCAGACCCACTTTCATGAGTAACCCTGCTGACTTCAATTCAGTTGGACCTCATAACACAGGCTCATCATAACACAGGCTCATTATTGTTTGTTTTCAGACAGTCTCTCTCTGTGGAGTTCAGACTGGCCTTGAACTCACTGTGTAGCGCAGGCTGGTCTTGAGCTTGAGCTGATCCTCCTGCCTCAGCCTCCCTAGTGCTGGGATTATAGGTGTGTGCCTCACATCTGGCAGGAAGTATTTTTTAAAGGAAATTGCTTGCAGTTTCGATGAAAAGCATGTGCCGCAGGGTATTCAGTAAGTGCAAGGCTCACCTCCTACTGATTTCCTGTTTTCTCTCTCCTTCATTGTTTCTTCTCCTCTTCCCACAGCTTCTCCTTCCCTCTCTCCCTCGCTCGCTAAGATTCTGGAGGTAGTATTTATTATTTGGTACCAGGAATTGAACCCATGACCTCAAGGCTTGCCAGGCAGGCACTGTGCTGCTGAGCTGTATCCTCAGCTGGCGGTAGCATTTTGAATAACCTTATTGTTTATGCACACCACAATTAAAATAATTACTTCATCTCTATAATTTATGCTCATAAAGAAAATGATGCACTGGTCCCTGAACAATTATTCTGGTCTCTTTGGAACAAAATTAAATAATTTTTTTCCAAACTTCAATTAATCTTTTGTCTTCATTGGAGAACTCGTTCCTATAGAACACGATGCTTGGATTACAGTTTCACTTCCTGAGCCCTCTGTCAGAAATTAGGCACATAAATCCTATTGCTAGATATTAAAATTCTGTGTCGGTTTTAAATTTTCGAGGTCTATTTAACAGCTAAATTTGATTAAAGATCAACCTGTGGGTATTTAGAGGAAATTCTGGTTTTTTTCTTTCTTAACTCTGAGTTCCTGTAGCGGACAGATGTTTTCCCCCCTTTTCCATCCTGGTATCATATATTCACTTTTTATTCAGTAGGGATGTCAGGCCAACTCTAAAGCATTCTTTCAGCAGTGAGGGGTTCAGAAGCTGAAGCCAGATAGATTAGCAGTTGAGTTCCTTCTCCTCTGTGTGTGCCCGCCGGTGGCTGCAGGGGGTCACCTGATGTCCCTTAGCACCGTTCCCTCACCTGTGCAACGGAGATGACCAGCTCTGCCTTCAGTCAGGGTTAAGCGAGGTGACCTCAGGATGTGTGGAAAGCCCAGCTTCACCCAGAGAGCACATTAACCACCCTCGCTGAGTTCTGGACACGAATAAGAAGGCAAAAGAAGAACTGGTGTCCGTCAGGGTGGGCAGCCTCAGGGGCAGGGCCCCTGCAGCAAGGCAGAAGCGGGCAGCGCCGCAGAGCTGAGCGTGATTAGCACGTTCTGGGGAGAAGCCCCGCTAACCCCTTCCTTCCTTCCTTCCTTTCTGTCTCCTCTCTGCTCTTCTCTCTTGTCCCTCCCTCCCCATCACAATCTTCTTTCTCTTTAGGTTCCCCACCAGCCAGCTACTGAGCTCCTCAAATAAGGAAACTGAGGCAGAATGAGCCCCTTTAAAGACACTCTTTAATCTATAGAGAGAAAAGCATGGGACTTCCAGAAACATGTAAACGTTTGTGTGTTATTTGATAAACACTCGGAGCGTGGTGACTTCCATAGGTGGAGAGGCCAGCCCTCCCTTACTCCTCTCCAGCCTCCAGGGCCGGACGGTCCATCACTCCCTCGTGGCCCTGCATCTCAGGCTGCATCACCAACATAGATGGCCACATTTGGCTGCCAGCAGAGTGACACATGAGTTACTTTTTTTAGATGGCATAAACATCCTGAAGGCTATAGCACTTTAATCTCATGTCTCCGTCTCTGACACCAATCTCAGAGTCGTTGTCTCTTTCAGGCCCTGCTTGAATTTCTCCAAAGAGTCATAGATAATAAAGAGAAAAATAAAATGACCGTCATGAATGTAGCCATGGTCATGGCCCCAAATCTCTTCATGTGTCACGCACTGGGTTTGAAGTCCAGCGAGCAGCGAGAATTCGTAATGGCAGCTGAGACGGCCAGTATCATGCACTTATTGATTAAGTATCAGAAACTTCTATGGACAGTAAGTATATCTGCATCTGTATCCAAGTTACACTCAATGCCATATCAGGTCCTATAATTCTTTAGCATAAACATAATGGTTGTGAGCATAAATTTAGAGAGCTGATATTAAAAACAATATGCTTAATGGTTTAAAAAGTAGTGTAACCTTTTAAAAGTACATGTATTATTTGTGAATGTAACAGATATTAACACTTGATTTGTATGGGTAAGGAGGGCCTTTTTAATTTCTATTTTAAAATCACAGAATCATGTCAAGAGAATGTCCCATGTGTGAAGTTCTTTTTAGTTTCTTCTGAGCATTTCCCTTTTAGTCAGCATTCATGTGTAGTGTCTTATGATTTTATTTTATTTTATTTTTTTACTTTTTGAGATTGGGACTTGCTATGTAGTTCAGGCTGGCCTTAAACTTACTGTGTAGCCTGGGCTAGTCTTGAACTTGAGGTGATCCTCCTGCCTCAGCCTCCCCAGTGTTGATATTACAGCTGTGCACCACACACCTGATGCCTATTGTGTTTTTGAAAGCTTGTGGGCCTTGGCCTCAGCTTTCACACTATTCTTCATTGACCGTTATTTGACATTTTGTGCCGTCATTGCAAGAAAGTCTAGAAAGTGCAGAGAAAGTTTCTTTCTACTCATGTTGAGGTTGAGTTTTGACAGATAATCAGAACACCATGGTAGATGAGGGACTTAGTTGATTAAGGTCTCGTCTTCTAGTATAATTTATAATTTGTATGAGACAGGCATTTTATAGGCATTTAAAAAATGAACTAATAAAATTCCAAGTAAAATTACAATGTCAAATATTCAACTCTATTTGCAGAACCCCAAGATATTAATTTACGACAGAATGATGACCTCTAAATTCTAAAGTTTTTATTTTTTTTCCTAAAAATTTATGTGCTATAAAAGGCATCTGATGTATAGGTGACTTCAAATGTTTTAAAAATTAATATCTTAATAAATATTAATTTTTAAAATGCATACATGATTTGATTTACATTCTTGGTAATTTAAAATACTTTGTTGTTGTCAATGCGATTTCTGAGAGTAGACCCTTGCCGGATTGTCACTTCATAGCTAGCTGGTGGCTCTTGTTCACTGGAGGTGAGTTTTCCTTTGTCCTCTGACAACAGAGCCTGGCTAGGGCTCAGACAGGGACATAGGTCGCTATGGGAGCTGTAGGGAGGCGGCCCAAAGGGGACAGACTGCCCAGGTGGTGGTCTCCACAGCCTGTGCCGGAAGTCTCCAGCTTTGGCATCAGCGGCATAGAAGCTTCTAGAGCTCCTTGAGCTTCTCTGAGTTGTACTTGGAAGTCTGCAAGACGGGAAGCAAATTACATCATGTGCGTGCTCCACAAGCCTTGTAGACTTCACGGATAGTGTTTGCCAAACGGCACCATCTTATCAAATACAGCCTTCTTCCTCTCACCGTTTCAGGAATGTTTACTTCCGTTTGTTTAAAACCATGCCTTATCCTTCCCCAACTTCATTTCTTTTCTCGGCAGATTCCCAAGTTTATCGTTACCCAAGTGAGGAAGCAGAACACTGAAAGCCAGAAGAAGGATAAAAAGCCTATGAAGAAGCTGCTGAAGAAAATGGCTTATGACCGAGAAAAATATGAAAAGCAGGATAAGAGCACCAATGACGTAAGAGAATCTGCAAGAGATAAATTTATTCTGATTTTGGTACCGTTTCCATAATGACTTTCTCCTGCTCGCTAAGGCTTGGTGCTATGTCTCCAGTGAAGGCGTCAGGAACAATAGCTGCACATTAGGACTGGGAAGGATGGGTATTGACAGGTGGTTAGGTGTCAGTATGGGAACAAAGGAAGATAGAAAACAAGACTGATCACAGAGGCACTGCATCCCAATGGCAGAGGAAAAAAGGCTTAGTCGTTCACACAGGGTGTTTTTTTCACGCTGTCTTTTTTTAATCTGTACTATGGGGAGAGAGAACTCGGTAAGATGAGCAAGCTGACATTTGTGTTGGGCATAGGATCACTCCTGGGATTCAGTGGATATTCGAAGGTTTTCATTGGGATCCACAGAATTTGGGAGATTAATGTTATAGAGCAGGAAATTAAGATCTTTCAAAATCAACTATCCAATTATAAGTACTAATAAACTACTCTAAGATTACATTAAGAATCCGGGTTTACCAAAGTGAAATATACACGAAAAGATTTTTGCGGACTGAGCTAGCAAAGCGCTTGCGGAAGATCACAAAATGAAAGGGCTTCTATTGTTCTAGCAAGTGAATACACGCCTCGCAGATACAATCCGGGTTGTTCAGTTGCATACTGCCATCTAGTGGGACAATCTGAAAATGCAATGTTCAGCCTTTGTCTGATTTTTCTGCTTGGCCTGCTTAGGGATCCAGTAATTCTACAAAATATGTTTTCCCACTAAATGAATTTATAAATCTCTTTAAAAAGTACTTTCTTGGAATTTCGAATCTTTAATAAAAACATGAAATATAATAAAGGGCAATTATGAATAATGTTTATATTTTTTGAGAAAGGACTTGATATTATCACAAGGCTCCAAAGGATTTTAGTGTAGTGTAGTGTAACACCAATGTAAATGTAAGGTTTTCTTTTATCTTTTAGCCCTGTCTAGTCTTACAAACCTGTGATTTTAGTAGTCCTGTCTTTAAGGCAGTTATACGTGGTAGCATGAGGCTCAGAATCTATGTAAATATGTTGTATTTTTTAAATAATAAATTTTTAGCAAAAATTTAAGAAATTACTTTCTAGAGATGAATAGCTAAGTAATCTTCTTTTACGGGAAAGCACCATTAACTTGGATTTCTTTAGTTTGTACTTTGAGCTAACTAGACACAGGCACGGCTGATTCAATCTCTGCTCTGTTTAAAAGCTGTATTATTGGGCCTTCAGTTTAAATGCTGGGGATTTTGCATATACATACTGTCACTTCACCTCTGAGGTTTGGTTCTCTATTCTGCACAATTCAGTTCTTCACTGAACAAACGCTGCTGTCTCCTGCACGCCAGACTTCACCCCGGGGTTGGGCTGCAGTGGGTGAGGCCAGAGGTGGGTGTGCCATCTTTAGGGTGTGACTTGGAGTTGCAGGAGGTGTGCAGTGAAGCCTGAGCCTGGCTTGTGGCGGGTCATGAGCAGGAGGAGCATCAGGGATCCGTGCCTGGGCATCCTGTGAGACGCAGGAACCACACAGCTATTATCCTGCATCCCTGGGAGCAGAGATCTGACCTGCAGTGCATCACAGCCCTTGCGGGAACCTGTTTGACTTTGCCTTTGCCCTGAATCCTTTTTATCAGTTCCCCAGGTTTACTGTTCTAGTTTGCCTCATTTTATTAAAGAGCAGAATATTCCCACGAAAACGTTACAAAGAACAAATGCACAAGAGAAATCTAAATGTTGTCAGTATGTGGTCACTGAGTGTGGCATTCAGAATTATTTTTTACCAGTTTCCATCACTTGGCAGAATCTTTTTTTGTTTGTTTGTTTGTGGTTTTATTTTTGGTCTTTTTCTTTTTTATTGGTACCGGAGATCAAACTCATGACCACACACTTGCAAGGCAGGCGCTTATGCCGCTGAGCTAAATCCCCAGCCCCGCTTGCCAGAATCTTAAAACTACACGATTGAATGTAAAAGCACTGTTTGCCATCTTACCAAAAAGTGGCAGTGGGGCATCCCCAGCCCCTGGCAGCAGAAGTTCGCAGTGGCTGGGCTCTGAGTGACTCCGGGTCCTTGTGAATGTGACATGGGTCCCTTGCTCCTCACTCTGACTTCTCGCTTTGCTTTCTGGCTTCTCTCTTCCAAATCACTTGAATTTGCAGCATAAAACTGGGCAAGGCCCTCTATGGGGTGTTTTATTATTCCTGGCTGTGATGTGAGGTGAGCCTACGGTGCTAGGTGGTGCTTGCTCTTGGGCCCTTGAAAGATGCCACTGAACAACACAGAGAAGAATCCCTACTCCTGTGGAGTTCACATTCTTTATGTTTACATATAATGAGGAAATCATATGTGCTAGCATGTGGTCAGTGCACTTAAAAAAATAAGAATAGAAAAGAATTTGAAGTGCACGCATTTGTGGTGCTGATTTGGATGGTGTGGACATTACCTCTGTGAGCAAAGCATGGAGGAGGACAGAGTCCAGCTGCCTTCCTATCTGGACGCTCATTCCGGGCTGAGGGAAGAATCTCGTAAAAGCCTTTAGGCAGTACATTGCTTGAGATACTTGAGGCCTAATAAGGAATGCATGGGCTGGAGTGAAACCTGCAGGAGGGACAGAGCATCGAGGGTACAGAGCCACATGGGGCTGTGGAGACCATCCTGAAAGTCGGATTCACCCTGGTGCCTTGGGGTCATTGCAGGGTTTTGAACAAAAGCCTGCGTATCTATGATGCATTTAAAAATGATGCTGTGAACTGTCAGGTTTCAAATCAGTTGTAGGCGCCAAAGGTAGAAGAACTAGGGAGACTACTTGGTTATCACCGAGCTGAGAGCCGATGGTGGCTCAGCCCAGCGTGTCAGCTGGAAGTGGAAGCAATCAGATTCTGGATAGTTTTCTAGAATGGCTAGAACCATTGGGATGTCTTGCTGAAAATGATATGAGTTGTAAGAGGAAAAAGTCCCAAAGGACCCAGAGACGTGAGGAAGTGGCAGATAGGACTTGGAATTAATTGGATAGGAAAGGTCATGATTGCAGTCTGGGGCCTGTTGAGTGGGAGGTGCCCATTAGACATTTAAGTGGGACGTTTGGAGGGTCCAGGTCATGCCATGGCTGGTGAGGTGCAGGAAGGCAGAGTCAGTGAGAAACCAGGCTCACGGGGGAGCCAGGCTTCCGTTCTGCATGTGATGCAAAACTGCTGAGAGGTGGGGAGCCCGTGAGCACTTCAGAGCAGTTACCATGGTGACAGGTGGAGGGAGAGTGAGGCATCGCTGAGTAGTCCCCGTCACTGATGGGAGCATGTGCCTTGACGGAGTCCCTTCAGAAAGCACGCTCCAATGGGTCGCAAATGTACAACACATGGGACGCTGTGTTCTTCATGGGACTACCGTTGCTATTTTCTTCACACTGGCCTGAGTGAAACGTATGCCCAAAGAATACAGGTGCTGGCTAAATATGCTACTATATATTCACACCACGAAACGCAAGAGCACACAAGTTCACTCCTTCTGAACATAGCCATGTTATTGTGTGAAAAAATTTATAAACCAATGAATAAAACCCTGCTGTATTTATGCAGTATGATAACAATGATCTTAAATGCTTACCACAGGTCAGCATGATACGACCCTAAACATTTTGTAGAGAATGTCTCATTTAGTATTTTCGGGAGACGAGGTGGAGTGTATGTTCTCATTTTCTCTAAGAGCAAAGTGAAGGCTGACCATCTTAAGGTTATCTGTGTAGAAAGTGGGGCAGCCTGGAATGCCACACCAAATCTATGTAGCTTTAAATCCATGGATTCTGTTCCATTTTCCTTTAGATTACAAACCAGAACAATGAACACCACGTACGTGCACACACACACACACACACCCTTTAGAAGTGTGTACACGAAAACCCTGTGTTTATTGATAGTCATAGAATGAAGTGATTTACTGCTGTTCTAAAATATGTTTTGTAGAGAGCTTTTAAAATAGTCCTGAGCAGGAACTGAAGCCCAGTGGCGATGAAAACTTTAGATTATGAGCCCGTGAGACTCTCACAATGGGGAAGGGGTTGGTGGTGAGGGGTGTGGGAGAGGGGGGAATAGGATGACTTACTGAAGTTTGCTGAGGTGATTTTGTCACCAAGATAAAGGATCAAGCAAAAGGAACCAACTTGAGATACAGCTTTTGGCACCCTGGGTTGGGATGTGCCTGTGGGAGGAGCCTGGAGGTGTCTCATATGACAGAAAGTGGATGAGCAGAGTGTGAAAGTGAGAAGCGAAGGTCTTGGGTCTGCCATGGTGCTGAGCCATTGAATAGGGTAAAAATGCTGCTTAAATAGGCGAAGACACAGGAAGAAGGAAGGGAAAAGGAATGGGTATTGTCTTGGAAGACGAGGCAGGAAGAGCAAAATAAAAAACCAAAACAAAAGCTGAGTTAATGCTCAGTTGCAAACATTGGAGTTTACACTGGTAAAGGTCTTCGGGCTCGCGTTTGATGGTCCCTGATGGCTGTTTGCAAAGCACCGGGAGTGACTATTGATGGAGGAAATCAGGTTGTCAGGGATTGGAGAGTGAAAGGCAGAGATAATAGACACCAGACTTTGTTAAGGTAATAGTTTTAGAACCACTTTGTATGCTATTAAAGCTAACTGCATGTAATTGGGCACTCATATTAATGTATGCTTGACTAGGTAAATTAATAGCTTGAGCCAGGTTGTAAGACACACTCAATTTACCTAATAAGACAAATGTTAACGACTGTAGCATATTAATTGTTTGGCACAAATATAGATATTCTTAAATACTAATAAGTCTTGTTACTTATACCAAGAAGAAAAAATTGGGAAAAACAAACTTGTGACCATTAAGAATAACCTTTTTTTTTTTTTCCTGATGGCCTTGAACTTGTTTGGGTTACACACATCCAGCCACATCCATACCATCATACACCACAGGTCACCACCTTGGGGCGTAAGGCCAGCATGCTCACTGGTGTGTGCGGCA